CAGTTATCTAGCTTATCTTCTGGGGTTTGTGTGTTGATGGTTATGGTTTGTATCCTGTTAATGCCGTGTATTAGGGCCTGTAGCATTGGTCCTATTTTTTCTTCTATGAACTTTATAGTTTTGGGCCAAGTCTTCTATTTTTGACAGATTTAAAGTGCCTGTCAGAACATTTATTTCATTTAATACTAACAGCATAACTATATGTCAAAGGTCCTTTGCAGGTAATTTGTTGCCGTCTGATATTGCCAACTTTAATAAAGGATAGACTTTGTAGAATATTCAACTAAGCAGTTGGTAATGCTTTCCTATCTTAGGAAAACTTATTTCATATTCATTTTTATTGAAAGATACAGACAGTCTTTTTGAACATGAATTGGGGGCCCTCAACATGGCTGCATTACTACGAAAAGAAGAAAGAGCAAGTCTTCTTAGTAACCTTGGACCGTGTTGTAAAGCATTGTGCTTCAGACGGGATTCTGCAATTCGTAAGCAACTTGTTAAAAATGAAAAGGTACTGTTATTTCCTTGGAAGAAATGTAAAATGTTTGTTCAGTAGTATGAATGGTTTATTTTTCATTTGATTGCTTTAAAGTGAGACTAAGATTTTATTTCTGTTTTTATGAGTTTGGTTTCCTAGTTTTTATATATATAAAAGGAAGAAGTCTTAAGATTTTTATTACACTTGTCATTTTACTTCAATAGTATTAATGAATATTTGTTTTGGATAATTATTGGTTATTCAAAACTTGATGTTTACAATTTGAAATACCTGTTTCTTTGAAATACTTGTGAAAACTTGTTTAGGTAGGAAAACGTATTGTAAATTTATTTAAATTGAAGATCAAGAAGAAATTTGCCAGACAGAGTGGGGAGGATATTTGTAGGAGTAGTGTTTCTGAGATGTGAAGTTGGAGGAGAGGTAAATAAGTAGTAATGTAAACATTTACTTGAGAAGAATAAAGGGAATTGAAAAGTAAGAGAAACAGAAATGCATCTAGAATTGAAAGATCTGATAATGAGAAGTTGAAAACATCTTAGGCTTTTTAAAGTGAAGTAACTGAGATTTTTATTTGGGGATAGGGGAGTAGGAATGGGTAGTGTGACAGAAGAGAGTAGGTCCTAAAAAGTGAGAGAAACATTGACTGAATAAATTACACATATTTATCGCTCTTTGAATATTACTTTAAAATAATTAAAAATTGTTTCTTTTTTACTTCGTTTTAATATGTGTGCCTATGGCATCTTTATTTGACAACTTGATAATGTTTTCATTTTTATTAGCTTTTTTAGTTTGGAAAACCTGGAATTATTTTTGCATTTATAACATTGTTGAAGAAAAAGATATTCATTAAGAAAATTAAATTTCTGCAAAAGAAATGGATGAACTAATCTCCAAAGAATAAAATGAAAACTGATAGAAGGAATAGGAGACTTTTTAAAAAATCATATCTTACACTGTATAATCACCAAATTTTTCTTGCACAGAAGCCTGGCTCGAAATTACTTCTGACAGAGTTGCTACAATCATTTTCTCCTTTGCATTCCTATTTCAATATATGCTGTTATTCTTGTTGTGTGCCACTGAGTTGATACCGACTCATAGCAATGCTCTACAACAGAGTAGAACTGCCCCATAGAGTTTCCTAGGCTGTAATCTTTATGGCAGCAGGTCACCAGATCTTTTATTCCACGGAGCCTCTGGATGGATACAAACTGCCGACCTTTCAGTTAGCATCTGAGCATTTAACCATTTGTGCCACCAGGGCTCCCCCCATATCGGTATATACTTCTCTTTATCGTATTGGCCACATCTCCTTCAACCTTTCTCAACTGGAAGTTTCTTTCAGAGAAATAAATCCTAATGCCCTAAGCAGCCATTGTAGGTAATGAATTAACTTCTCTTTTATGAGTTTAGAATGGTACTAGTTACTACCATCCTTGGTATTGAATTGAAAAATAGTCACTCAGATCGTTTTTTGAGTTCTGTGGTTCAGGTAAGGAACCCTAGTTGAGAACGATTGTATTATTTGCAATCTTATCAGAATCCTGTCCTTTTTTTTTTTTTTCCCATAAAACATTATAATATTCTGTGGTTTCTGCCTTCAATATGCCATAGTGCCCCCTCAAAAATTGTGACAGCCAAAACATCCCAGCAAATTTCCCATTGAGAACTATTGTTCAGAACTGTGTAATCCTTCAGCACAGAGCATAGACCACTAACAGCACCTGGCACATTATAAAAAGTTTATAATGTATATTATAAATATCTTAATAGATGAACCATTTAAAGAAAACATTGTGAGTTCTGATTACTCAGTGTTAAAAATAACACAAAAACTGAAAGGACACAACTAAAGAAAATTAATTTCAGATGCTAGAAAGCCTCATGAAAAATGCTAAGAAAAAGAAACCAAAAACCCTCTAAATTACGTATGACTATAAAAGAAAAACAAAGAAGAGGACCATTCATTGGAATAAGTGGCAGACTCTTATCAGATGACAGAAAGAAAGTAGAAAACCACTGAACCTCTATATTGACATCATCTCTCTTTCAGAGAATGATTTTTAAAGTATATAAAATATAGTACCTTATTTCTATGCAGCTAACTCGCACCTTCTACGTTTGACAACTGCTCCTTCCCCCTACAAGGTATTTTCTTAAGTCCCGTTAATGCCAGTTTTTTTTACATGTGGCTGTAAAAAAAAATCAGCGTAGCACGCTTAGGAAACCTCACGGAGGGAGTGGTTGGCAAACAAATGTAGGAAGCGCGCATTATTTTCGTAAAAATGCAGTACATATAGAGCAAGATAAAATCCGTTGCTGTTGAGTCGATTTTGAATCAAGCAACCGGATAGGACAGAGTAGAACTGCCCCGTAGGGTTTCCAAGGAGTGGCTGCTAAGTTTGAACTGCCAGTCTTTTGGTTAGCAGCCAAGTGCTTAACCACTGCGCCACCAGGGCTCCATAAAGCAGGGTAAGTGAAGGTTATTAAGAGACTACTTAGCTGCTTTGAATGAGTTTAAATCTCGTTTTAGTATTATCACAGTAAAAGAATGTACAGAAACCTTAACAAACAGAAGGAAGGAAATACTAGCAGAAATCAGTGAAATTGAAAGTAGAAAAATATTAGAGGAAGTCAGTGAAACCAAAAGTTGGCTCTTTAAAAAGATGAATAAAATTGATACTCTATTATCTAGACTGAGAAACGAAAAAATAAAACACAAGTTACTAATATTGGAATGAAAGAGGATATCAGATCACTACAGATACCACAGACCCTACAAAGATAATGAAGGAATACTATGAACAATTTTACTCATATAAATAAGACAGTCTAGATGAAATCGATCAATTTCTGTAAAGCCCCGAACTACCAAAACTTACTCAAGAAATAATAGATAAAACTGAATAAACTTATAATCTATTTTTAAAAAATTGAATTTGTAGTTTAACACCTGGAAAAGAAATTTCCAGTCCCAAATAGTTTTACTGGCAAAATCTACCAAACATTTAAATAAGAAATGGCAACAGTTCTATACAATTTCTTCCAGAAAATCTAAGAGGGGGAATACTTCCCACCTTATTTTATGAGACTAGCATTATTCTGATACCAAAACCAGGCAAAGACATCACAAGAAAAGAAAACTGCAGACCAATTCTCCTGAACGTGGCTGCATAAATCCTCAACAAAATATCAGGAAATCAAATCCAGCAATATGTAAAAAGAATAATACAGCACAATGAAGTGCAGTTTATCCTGAGAATGAAAGGCTAGTTCAGTATTGGAAAATCAATCAATGTAATCTGCCGTATTAAGAGACTAAAGAAGAAAAAACACATAATCATATCAGTAGATGCAATACAACATTCCTTCATAGTAATAATAATAATAGTAATAATTCTCAAACTGGAATTATTTATAATAATAAATAAACTCCCTACAGCTGACATTGTACGTAATGGTGAAAGTTTGAATGCTTTCCTCCTGAGATCAGGAACAAGGCAAGGATGTCCATGCTCACTACCCCTATTCAGCATCATACTGGAAGTTCTAGCAAGTTCCGTAAGGCAAGAAATAGAAATAAAAGATTGGAAAGAAAGAAGTAAAACTGTCTTTATTTGCAGACAACATGATTGTGTAAAAATTTCAAGGAGTTGACAAAAAACTTACACCAAAACTCCTGGAACTAATAAGTGAGTTTAGCAATGTCACAGGGTTAACATACAAAGATCACTTGCATTTCTGTATACTAGCAATGAAACCTGGGAACCTCAATTTATAAAACAATTACGAAACAGCCTTTACAATAGCTCTAAAATCGTGAGGACACTTTAAGTATAAATCTAACAAAACATGCAAGATCTATATGCTGAAAACTACAAAATTTTGATGGAAAAAAGACCTAAATAAAATGAGAGACATACTGTGTTCATGGATTGAAGACCCAGTGCAGTTAAGACTATAATTCTCCCCATATTGATCTACAGATACAATGCAGTTCTAATAAAATCCCAGCAGTAATTTATGTAGATATAGACAACTTAATTCCAAAATTTACCTGGAAAGTCAAAGGAACTAGAATAGGAAAAAGAGTTTTTACAAAAGAAGAATGAAGTTGGAGGACTCGACTATTCGATTTCAAGACTTACTGTAAGGCTACAGTTTCAGGATAGTGTGGTATTGGTGAAGGAATAGATACTTAAATCAATGGACAGAGTAGTGTCCAGAAATAGACTCATAGAAATTTGACTCTTGTGGGGCAGGGTGAAATTTTGAGCAGTTTGGTTTGTTTTTTAAGTTAAAGTTTTTATTTTGAGGTAATTTAGCTTCATCACTTGGGATGAAGTGATGAACTCTCAAAACGTACAAAAAGAAAACAAGCAACTCAATTTTTAAAAACCGGGTGAAAGTCTTGAAGAGACATTTCACCAAGAGACATATGGACAGTTAATAAATATGTGAAAAGATGTTTAACATGATTAGCCATTAGGGAAATGCAAATTAAAACCACAATGAGATACTTTTACTTACCTATTACAATAGTTAAGACACAAACAACAGAAAGAACTGACATCGTGTTGGTGAGGATGCAGAGCAACTGGAACTCTCGTATGTTACTGGTGAGAATGCAAAGTGGTAGAGTCACTTTGAAAAACACTTTGGTCATTTCTTATGTTAAGTGTACACTTTATGACCCAGCAGTTCCATCCCTAGGTATTTACCTTAGGAAAGTGACATTCATATGACAGCTTATACACAAATGCTTATAGCAGCTCTGTTCATAATCTCCAAAAACTGGAAACAGTCTCATTGTTTTTCATCAGGTTGATAGATATTCAGACTGTGCCACATCCATACAATAGATTATTAATTAATAAAAGTAACAGATCTGTACACTGAAAAATGTGGATGAGCCTCAAAGGCATTATGCTGAGTGAAAGAAGCTCATCTCAAAAGATTGTATATACTTACAATTCCATTAATAAGACATTCTGGAAAAGGCAAAACTAGCGACAGAGAATGTGTCAGCCGTTGCCAGTGAGTTAGAGTTCAGGAGAGGGTGTGAATGCAAAGGGGCAGCAGTTTTTTTTTCAGGGTCGGGGGCGGGGTGATGAAACTATCCTGATTGTGGTGGTGGTTACTTGAATCTATTCATGGGTTAAAAGTGGTACATTAAAAAAAGTCAGTTTTATTATATCACAGTTTATAAAGTAGAATATTTTTTACAAAGAATGCAGATGTGATCAAGGATCATTTATTTTTGAGGATCCTGGAAAATAAGACAAATAGACTATTGGTGTATTAATACATTACCCTTATTGCATTATGCACATTGCTGGAAAACATTTAACAAAATTTTATGACAATAACTGCCCCCAAAACGCTAATGTAGCTTTAAGCTACAATAATAAACAGTTTTTAATGCAAAGAAGGTAGTAATTCCTCAGTATAGCGCATTGATTAGCTGTCTTCTAGAGTATTTGTTCACTTCTAGAGTCTGTATTTTTGGGATATTAACAGACTGGTAAGGAGTGTAGAATGTTTAGCTTACAGAAGAAAAAATTATGAGGAAGGAGTTCATGGAATTGAAAGGTTGTCATGTAAAAGAAAAGACTGAATTAGAGTGTAGCTCCAGAGATAAGAGTTTATATTTCAACACAGGGAAGAAACAGTACCCTTCAGCAATAGAATGTGCAGTGTGTTTGTTTGTTGTCATTAACAATGATGAAGTGAAAACTGGGGGTTCAGGGATTGTTTAGAGGATTCCTATTTCATGGAAGAGGTTAGAATAGGTGCTCTCGAAAGGTTTCTTCTGACAACACTTCCTAATTTTGGTTTTAAACCCAGTGAAGCTAATATCCATCCAGAATTAAGTATTCTAACTTTATGAATTTGTGGACGGCAACAATAATAAAAATAAAGGAAACTAATCAAAATTAGGATTTGATCAGTACCTCTCACAGGTTTTTGTTAAAACTGTAATCTTATGTTGTCTCAGTAGCCTTGTTTCCTTTTGCTAAAGGTAGCATAATGTCACTGGTGTAACATTATATTTTTGTTAGAGATTAACCTGCCTGTCTTTCCCACCGTGGACTAATGAATGTATGTCTTCTGTTTGTTTTTGTTTTCTCCAAATAGGGCACTGTGAAACAAGCTTACACAAATGCTCCAGTGGTAGACAATGAATTATTACGATTGAGTCTGAGACTATTTAAACGGAAGACTACTTGCCATGCCCCAGGACATGAAAAGACTGAAGATAATAATAAACTTTCACAGTCCAGTATCCAACAGGAAGTGTGTGTGTCTTAAGACTGAAACTTAGTATGACATTTTTGGTACTATCTTCCTTCCACAGTGTGTATTCTGTTTCAAAGTTCTTTGGTTTGATAAGCATCCTTAGTGACAAAGGCAGAAGAGATTTATCAGCCATGCTAAAAGAGTGGAGAAGAACTTTGATCTAAAGTTTAAAGACGCTAGTTTTGGCTAGCAAGATTTTACATTAATTTTTACGAGTACTTGATACTCATACAAAATAATGTGAAAGCATCTAGATGTAGTCATTTGTTCTGCATCTCTTGTTAAAAAAGATTTTGGAAAATGGTTGTCACTGTTGTTCCAGCCTACGAGTATTTTTTATGAAATGGAGCCACTGATTGATGTTCTGGATCGTCCATACAGAAACTACGATGTTACTCAGACTCACCATGTTCATCACAGACAGCAGCTGCACGCTCTGAGGCCACACTATGTGGTACAGAACATGGAATGCTGGTCTAGCAGGGCATGCTTTGGGCCATGTCCGGCAGCAGGGAGGGAGCCAAAATGCTTTTTTTCCTTTTGAAACTTTTTAAAAAGTACTTAATGGGTTTTTTTTTTCTACATAAATGTGCATCATTACAGTGTATATTGGATGTATTTGGATTATCATTTTTTTTTCAGAGACTGTCTACTTTTAATTTTAAATAAATGCACCTTCCCTTTCCTTGTTCTAGATTTACTTGCTCTTCATTAATCTTATTCTGATGTTCTGAAACATTTGTCATCAACATTACATTTCATGCTTTAAATATTTTACTGCTTATGTCACTCTTGCATAGCTGTAAATAATGTGGTAAGAGTTGAGGGTGTACTTCAAATATAGCTCAGTATCCTTGAAACAAACAGATTTTCCTAGTTAAAATTATATAACTATCTTTAAGTATTGTATTTAAATTTGTACTTGGACTTTCCTATTTAATCTGAGCTTTAAAATCCAATCATATTTTTCAGAGGTATAGTCTTTGATATGAAGTGTATTATAGCTGTTAAATATGTAAAAGCCTGTTTTCATCTTTTCACCCATAAAAATGTTTGATTACATTAAACTGCCTCCAGCCTATAATATGTAAGACAGATTTGCTTTTTAAAAATTGCAGTATCCCAGCTTTGATCTATATGTACATATTTAACTAATGAAGTGGACTCTTATAAGGGTTTGAAATTGACTCCACACTACAGATTTTGTGGGCAGGCAGTAATAATAAAAATAAAAGAAACCAATCAAAATTATAATTTGATCAGTACCTCTCACAGGTTTTTGTTAGAACTGTAACCTTATGTTACTTGTCTCAGTAGCCTTGTTTCCTTTTCTCTAAAGGTAGCATAATGTCACTGGTGTAAAGTTTCTGTTCATTTCAACAAGCATTCATCGTACAGTTAATTTGTACAAGATACTTCACCAGCAAAGGAAGTGGTCTTATTTTCGAATGACTGTGAAAGCATGTATAAGAAAATTGCCAAAAGGGGAAACAACAAAAAAGGAATCGAAGTTTCCTGATGTCCTTTTCTTGGTTTGCCTTTACTGAATGTTTTGAATAAAGAAAAAAAAACCACAAAATTCTTTAGTGACCCATTAGGAAACTGCTTCCTGATTCTAGTGGATAATACTGTTCTCTGTAGCATAAAGATTTAAAGTCTACAACTTGTAATCCTTGTTCCCAGAATTGTGGAATATGGTCTTCCTTTTTTGCCCACATAGTAGGAAGATTTCATGGAATGAAAATTTTGTAGTCCATTCTGCCATATAGTTAACTCCGGTGCCTTTTTAGTTTTGAATATCTTTTTGTTACATCGTGAAAGAAATTTTTACAACTATTCTTTTGTTCACTTGGTCACAGTGTCCAGAGCCTTGTGTTCCCAGTGAGAATGTACTGTTAAGTCTCATGTTTTTTTTTTTTTTTTTTAATTCAGCCATTCTCATTATTACTAACCATACAACTAAAAAGTTCTTCTAAAGCAAATGTTTCTACCAGATTTTTCATAAAATCTCTTGGACCATAATTAAAGTCTCAATTAAACCAGTATTCCTGAAAACATCTTCCAGTCTGTAAATTATTTGCTAGTAGTTAACAGCTCATCTCTCTCATAGCTGGTGGATCAAGTTTGTCCATTTGCCATAATTGCACAGCTGTACCCCAGCTACTGGCAGTACGGAGTTGTCTGCATAGAGAAGGGGCAAGAACATGTCTGCATTCCAAAAAAATGAGAGTTAACTATTATAATTAGATAATTGATTCAGCTGTTTTGATTTTTTTGGGCAGCTATTCTTACCATTTAGTAAAGTGTTTTACTAACTTAGAATAATAGCTGGATTTGTAGGTTTACCTAAGATGTGTTAAGTATACCTAAGTAGTAACTTAATATGTTGAAGAAATCAGACCCATCACTTCCCTTTACTCTGATCAGTCATTGCAGGTTGTCTTCTCCATCCTACCCAATAACTACAACATTAGGGTCTTATGACATCCTTATTTACTTGAATGTTTGTGGCATCAGAAACATGTTCAACATTATTTCTTACTGTCCAGTTTTGTAAAGATTAAGATATGTAGTATCTGAATTGTTCATGGTGCTTGTAAACCTCAGAAGAGTTGCTAGCTGAACCTCAGCTTGTTATTTAAAAAGGTCTAATTCAACTTTATTTCACCACCGACTTTCAAAGGGTATTCTCTTTTATGTATTTTCCTAGCTAAACTTAGATAGCTGTCTTTCTAAATGCTGTATTTAAATTTGTACTTGGACTTTATTACCATTAAACTATATAATAAACTTGCTTTATTTATTAGTTTTGGGTTGACCTTTCCACTTCAAGTATTTTGAAAATGGCAAAACTGATAAATAAGGGAAGCTTATTATATATGTAGTGTATAGTTTTATGTTGTCTTGGTGTGCATCTTTGCAGACTTTGTCATTTTGAATAACACATTTTCTGAACTAAAGCTCTTTTGGTTGTGATAGAAATACAGTTGGAGTAGCTCAGCAAAGATGGGAAATAAACACACATATGAATAAAATAATTGTAATTGCAATGAAGGAAAAAGCCAGAGGGCTGAGATGGAGAATAATACAGTGCAGGTTGGGAATGAGGTGATATTTTAGACTGATAGTCAGGAAGGTCGTATGTATATGATGAGATCTAAAACATGAAAAGCAGCTAGCAGGGCAAAGAGTGGGAAAGAGCATTTCAGAGGAATTGGAACATGCAAAAGCTTGAACTAGGAAAAGAGCTTTGGTGCATTCCAAGAACTGAAGTACTAGTGTTGCTTCAGCGTTAGGGGGGTGGGAAGGCTAGAGAGGGAGTCTAGAACAGCATTGTCTTAACAACTCTTTGATGATGGAAATGTTTTATATCCGTACCGTCCAATAATGTATCCACTAACCGCAGGTGACTTTTGAGCATGTGAATGTGGTTAGTGCCACTAAGGGACTGATTTTTAAAAATTTTGTTTAATTAAAATAACTGTATGTGGGTAGTGGCTACCATTTTGGATGGTGCAGTTCTAGACCTTAGCAAAGCCTTGTGGAATATGGAAGTGTTTCCCAAAGTGGTAAACAAGAGGACCCTTTTTTGTTTTGTTTTATATTTAATGTTACAGTTACTCTCTATGTATGGCAAGTGGTGCTGATTTTTCATTTACTTTGCCAGTATAACATTTCCTTTTAGAATAAATGTAAATTACTAGATTAATTTAGGGCAGGTGGTATAGAAATGGGATAAAATTTAGTGGTGATCAAGTAACTTGAAGTTTAGAAAGTACAAGCTCTGTATGAAGTTGGGATTTTATTTGAAGGAAAAAATAGAGATAATGATAAAAGATATTCACATCAAAAAAAGGCAAGCAGAAGAGAAATGTAAAACAGGAGTGGCAAATACAAAATACAGATTTAAACCTAAACGTATAAATAAAAATAGATTCAGTAAAAGACCAAATGTGTGTGCTGCTTATGAGAGACCTGAAACAGAGGAGATAAAAATTTTGAAAGTAAAAGGATGAAAAAAAGATAAACATCAAAAGAAAGTTATATTAATCAATTATCCCTATGTATTTTGTATTTATTGCCATGGCAGTGTTACCAAGTGATTTTCTAATTCCATCATCTATGTTTATTAGTTAAAATTCTACTTTAAGGGAGCGTCCCTACCCAGATTCTTTCCCCATATCAGTGTAAACTCAAATGGATTCTTATTCTATAGATGATAGTTTTTTACTATCATCTTGTTGCTCAAATTGTCCAAGATTTTAGACTTGTTCATTTACATTCTCTGTGTGACAGTCCCAGTATTTATTGTCACTTCCGGATCTGTTTCTGTTGTATGTTGTTTTTTATTTCTTTTTCATACTGTCTATTCTTAGACCTGGTTATCTTTAATTATGTGCCAAAATTGTAATTGCAAATGGTAGAAAAAGCTTGAGGTATAGGATGCTGTTGTCCTCCTTCAGAAACAAGTTTTGTTTAGGGTCACTGTCAAACCAAGAACACCTAAATATAGTTTCGGGAACTGAGATCTGGGTCACCCAAATTACCTGAGTCTGGGCTGCAGTCTATGCGTGGGCACATCTGGCTCACCATCCTTCCCAAGGCTCAGCCCTTGGGGTCTGGACCCAAAGTGCAAGCTCTACAAGAGCCTCCATCTTTGGTGGACCCTGTGCTCCAATGTTTTCCACCTTCCCTAAGAGGACATCTCAGCCCCCTTTCCAGATTGTCATAAACTCATTGGGTAAAATTGGCCTCAGATGCCAGGTGTACTTCTGAATTTCAATCTCCTGAATTTTGGCCATGTTAATCTGCTCTCCAATGTTTAAGCAGATTTTTTTTTTTTTTTTTTTTTTTTCTAAATGTTACACATAG